GGGCTGAAATGCAGGGCTCTAGCTCTGATCTAGCACACAGAAAACGATTTGACTGAAAATTTATCAGAAGATATGAAAGAAAGATAGTGGTCATCGGCGCAATTTGGAAAAAGAGGCGGCTTTTCTGCATTATGTATGGATTTTTTCCTTCTTTCTTTTTTTTTACTCTTTGTACAGCAGTTATTGTTCATTCTAAATTAATTTTTAAATGTAGAATGTGTTACATAAATACATGAAATGTAGAACATATAAAAAAGTGCTCGTGGCTCCTCTGCCAGTGGGTGCCCCCCCACGCATAAAAGTGAAACTCCGCCTATGTGCTGTTACTCCTTTCGAGCCGAAGTTCACAAAATTGGGTGTTATTTATGGGGAGTAGAATTATTTATTTATTTCAATGAATGTAATCGATTAGATATCATAATATTTAGGCTATAATATTATAAATCAGGTTGGTTTGTATTGCTGACGTAATATGTAAATGATATGCGTGCGGCCCGCGAGACTTGCACTTGGACCATAGTGCGGCCTGGTGGAAAAAAAAGGTTGAGAACCACTGCTTTAGACATATTTTTAAACTACAATCATCCAGCCTAAATGTTTCGTCACCCAGTGTATTTGTGTTTTACAAGTTATAATGTTGTCGATTCATATTTATATTGTGAGGAAGATACTTAAACTCTGAATTTAATTTATTTTAACTAAAAAAGACAAGTAGACAGTCAGTAATAAAATAAGAATAGATTAATGACAAGCAATGGCACAAACAAATACAATAAAAAGATACAACTAAAATTAACTGTGCTTTAAGTTTTTCAGGTAGGTTTAACAGTAATATTCAGGTACAGAAATACCACAGAAACAGAATAATCTATTTAACTTTAAAATAACACTGGTTAGTCTTCAATGTATAAATAAACATTAATGACAGACAGCAGCAGGTTTATTTAGGTTGCTTGTCCTCTTTAAGACCTCATGTACGGATCAAACTGTTACACAAGTTTTGTTTCTCAACTGTTTACATTAACTTAATAGCCTGTATACCGACAATGTTTAGTATAAATCGACTGTTTACATGAATACTCATCAAGACGGGCACTTTAACATATTTTTGTATGTATTTGGCTGTTTATGTGTAATAAGGCGCACGCTTTCAGATGCGTCTCTATGTGCGTGCGCTTTGGGTGTGAGGCGGCTCACAGAAAGGGTCTCACAGTCACAGAGCGCACAAGTACTGAATTGAGCACTTGAATGTTTAAAATTGTAAGACTCAAAAGCCCGTGCAAATGATACATTCCGTCATCTGTCGCGAGCGTCTTTCACATTGAAATATTTGCGGGAATTTCTTTACAAGCGCGGAAACTGCGGGAATCAGTAGAATTATGCACAATCCCGCGCCAAATTTCAAGCCCTGTATGGGTAAGCTGTATTTTCTTTTCTTGTCTTACGGCTGCTGTTTTGGTGTGCAAGTGGCGTGCTAATGCTAGTTTATGTCTTGTTTGTAGAAGGACTTTTTTTTGTATAGCATCTGTCTTCATTCCTTCATTGTTGGAGGTCGATGCTAATGGTATAACTGGAACATGAGAGCTCTACAATCGGAGGTCAGTGGTATCAAGGCCTGATTTCATCGTTGTGGTGTTTGGACTTGGATTTCCTGATTCACTGCATCACATCACTCCATGGACATTTCTTCAACTAGTCTTCATCTCAACGAACGGTACAACTCTAAGCTACATATCTTTGGGATTTTTCTATGGACAACATGGACAATGGACAGCTAAAGTTTTTCTTTTCCAACTTCATTGCCAAACAACAGTGACAATATTGCATTCACGTGAGTTTTTGGACGTTATATATTTGTAATTCCAATTTCCTGCTGGGTTTTTTTTCCATGTAAATATATATACTTGTGTTGTTTCTCAAACCCTAAAGAAAAGAAAAGATAAAGCATATCTGTTTGTGATTTGAGGTTTATTCTTGAATTGTGAAATTCTAATGCAAGTTTGGTCGGTGGGTCCTTCCCTCAAATTTATCTTGTAGCTTGCCTCACTAGGTAATTTCTCAGGGAGACTGTTACAGTTTGTTCAACTCGCAAACAAAGGTTTTAGACGTTCAAACAATGACAGCAGAACGGAAAGCAAATTTGTGCATGCGTGATGAAAACTGCACAAGGAAATCAAAGCTTTACTCGCACTGCAAAGGGGTTTGAAATCAGTTGCTTAAATTTTGTAATTAAAACAGCTTTAAGCTATTTTTTTGTTTGTTTTGTTAATCGTAAATGATTTAAATGAAATATTTAGTGTATAGACCTATATATTCCTTTTTATTTCTATAGTTTCATTGTTTTCTCCATTCAGAAACAGATGTGGTTTTATACCAATATTTTATACCATTTTATTACATAACAGTAAAATAACGCTTACATTATCCTAAAAATATAAGAAATAAAAGAATCCATATAGCCCTACAGCAGCTTTATGTTTGTTTATGCTTTTTCATCTGCAGAAATCATAAAATAAAACATATTTTTTAATGGTTATAGGCTATAACGATGCATTAATCAATTACAGTCTGAGCTGAACAAGGAAACTCTTGCTAAGTGTGATTTTTTTCATCTTCTCTGAGTTCATGCAAAATTATCTGAACTAAATGAACATGTTTTAACAGGTTTCCAGCTTTTAAAATGACCATTAAAATCACCAAAAAAATACCCTCCAAAAATGGCACAGGCTCAGTCCAGCGTTTTAGTATAGCAATAATAACAACCACTTCAGTACAGCATGTTGCATGACTGCCCCCTACTGATCATGTCTTTCCTGTGCTAGAGCATTCCCTGTGGTGACCACCGTGATCCTCTCTATCTGACCGCGCATTCTCAATGGCCACATCTGTATATACATCATGGAAATGTGATTACAAACACTAGTGGAAAAAAATGACTGTCCTCACGACAATTTCCTAAGTAGTAGATCAATTACAAAAGACTTCTTCTCAATGCACATAGCGAGGTTTTCTCCTTCTCGTTTAACATCATGAGCATTTCCTCCGATTCTCAATCCTCCTCTCCATATGGTTTGTGGTTTTGTGTTTGGACAGCCCAGCATAGTATACTAGATTATTTTTGGTGATTCTGATTACTCGACATGAACACATGGGTGTCCACCTGTTCCTCAGGTCCTGAGGACATTCCCTCAGGATGATTCTCTGTGTGTTCAAGTGCAGGTAAAACCATGCAACAGCAGGGTTAAGCCACACAGAACATGTTCTTAACTACACTCAGATGGACACTGCTGAAGGAAATAAAACATGCAGCTCAATCAGAGAGTTCAGACGATCAACATCTGCTCTGATGGATTCAGTGAAGGATTCATCATAATGATTCAAACGTAACTTAAGCATAATCTGGACCGTATGCAGCACTAGTTGTTGAATCAGAGTGAACAGGAGGAATACAGTGCTTCTGGAATGAATCTTTTGAGCCTTAAATTCTTAAAAATAAATCTATACATCTATAAAACTATTTTTAAGACTCTGACAGGTTTAATACAATACATTTCCTGCAATGGTCACTTGTGCAAATAAAGAGAGCAGCACAGAGACCATACGAGGGAGTCAGTGGTGTGTTTCACATACCTTCTCCAAATCCTCTGCATTGGCCTGATAAATCTTGGCCAAGTATTTCCTGAACTTCAGGAGGAAGCTGGTGCACTTGCCCTGAGTTTCCTCAAGCCCGTTCCCTGCCTCCTCTGACAGCCTCTGATAAATCTGCCGATCAACACATGAGTCACGTCAAAAGCTGTCAGACGCAGCGCTAGCTCCTTCAGACGGAGCTGCTGATGAGCTGAAGCTGAGTCAGTGTGACTGTGCCGTTACCTTCGCCAGATGCCAGTTAGACGAGATGCTGTTGAGCTGCTCCAGCTTTTCGATGGCCTCCTCAGTGTTGCCCTCGATGTCAAGGAGTGTGGCGAAGCTTATGACTGCATCTTCCTCATACACTCGCACCTGAGAGGGCTAACGTCCAAAAGACCATTAGAGAGGACATGATAACAGAAAACAAAGAGACTGCAGCAGGAAGCCACGCACATCATCCCAGCAGCCAAAGCACTGAAGTAACGGAGATACCTGTATGTCTCTGCTCTGAAAGTGCATGAACATGGGCTGCAGGGGTTCAGGGATGCTGCGTTTGTGTCGGACCTTCTCCAGCAGGGGGAGCACAACCCTCCAGTAGTGCACACTGCGGCTAGCATACTCCTTCTGATCGTAGTAAGAGTTCACCCGCTCAGTCTGACAAACACACACACACACACACACTTACTGCTGGCCTTCTGCGGCTCTGATGAAGGCACATTTAACACTTCTTAAGACCAAGTAAAGGAAATGAAAGGAATAAACTAAAGGAAATAGTGCGCACTGCGGCTAGCATACTCCTTCTGATCGTAGTAAGAGTTCACCCGCTCAGTCTGACAAACACACACACACACACACACTTACTGCTGGCCTTCTGCGGCTCTGATGAAGGCACATTTAACACTTCTTAAGACCAAGTAAAGGAAATGAAAGGAATAAACTAAAGGAAACACAATACATCAATATGTTTGCTAAATGTAAATCTATAGAGAAACACAATGAGAGCTATGAAAAGTGCATTAAAGTGCAAAAATACTTCCAGCAATCTTCATTAATTTTGAAAAAAAAAAAAGCTTAAGGTTTAAATAGCTCTGCTCCCAAAAACTAGAATATGGAAATTAAATTGCATCTGATCACAGCAGCAAAATAAAATAAAAAAATCCTCTGTATTTGTCTTGTTTTCCAGTGCAAATGTCTAAAAAAATGTCTATTAAATCATGATGAAAGAAAATAACATTAAAAGTGCAGTATGTAAGATCGACAGCTAGTGGTTGAAATGGGTACTGCAGTCCAAATTCAAAATAATGGAGAGAGCCGTTTCTCACGCTTCCTCCTACTCAGACTCAACGCTCACGCATTGAGGACACACGACGAGCCTTGCACTGTAATTTGATGAATTTATTTACTGTGTTTTAATGTTAACTTACATAGTGCACCTTTAAAAGAGAAGTCTAGTTTTCCGGAAAATTTGTTCAAAATGAAGTGAGTTTATGATTATAATAATCAACTTAATTCAAAGGCAAAACATGTTCTCATTCCCCATTGACAGATATTTGTTCTTATAACGGCTGCGCGATAAATCGCATGTGATAGTCATGCACATCTCGTCAGTAAAGCCGGTTCTGTGATTAGTAGTAAATGCCGCTCCATCTGAAAGCACGTGCTGGAGATTTACTACTAATCATAGAACCGGCTTTACTGACGAGATGCGCATGACTATCACATGCGATTTATCGTGCAGCCCTAGTTCTTGTTTTAATCAACTCACTTAGTTCTGTTCAATTTCTCAAGACTTCAATTTACATGTCCAGTAAGTGTATCTTGAGTTAAGGATGTTTAGATATTTGTATTGGAAAGCAAGACAAAACTACTAATAAAGGAGTGCATGCAAACTTAATTTGTGGAGGGCGAATAAAGACTTTTTTAAAGAAAGAGAAACTGTTACCAGGACTCTAAAATGTGGCCAAAACTAATGAAGTCAAAAACGATGAACCATTTTGTGACAAAAACGTGTGAAAGCAATGAAGATTTGTCCAGCTGATTTCGTCAGCAGACTGCATGAGCTGCGATGGATGTAAGAAATGAAGTGTATGACATCAGGTGATGAGGTGCAGGTGGTCAGGACGTACCGCGTCAGTCAGATGTTTAGCCCAGTGTATGAGCAGCGCCGGCTGCAGGCCGTGTTTCTCTCCTGCGCGCAGCGTGCCCAGACCATGCTGAACGAGCAGACGCAGTTTAGCAGACGTCCCGGGCCTGAGACACACACACACACACTGCAGTAAGGAACACATGACGTCACACACACACACACACACAACACACACACACACGAGGAGTCACTCACTGCGCTCTCTTGTGAATCAGGCTGTAGACAGCATCCCACCACTCTCTCTGTCCGTCAGACGACAGCAGCTTCATGATGTGCAGCGGCAGACAGCGCGGCTCGTGCGGCTGAGCGCAGGCCATCTTTCCTCGCTCCTGCAGCTGCGCCTGACTGCAGAACACCACGCCGCACACGAACACCTGCAACACACATATGACAGAGATCTACATCACAGCCTAGACCAGTGTGTCCTTTGTGTCCTCGTGCAGTCAGATGGGACACACAGGTCGAGATACTTCACCTGCTTGGACTTGCTCAGCTGGGCTTTAAAAGACACTCAAAACTGCGCTGACACTCTCAGAGGAGAACAAAATGAATTAAATTTAGCAGCTAAATAATGACACTCACGTCTTCTGCAGAGCTGCTTTACAGCAGAATTTGAATGTCTCCTGTTTGATTACGCTTGCAACACTGATTATTTTCCTGCTTCTCTGTAAAGCTGCTTTGAAAAAATCTGTATCATATAAAGTAGGGCTGTGCAATTACTCTAAATACGGTTTCGATTTCAGCCTCCAACGATTATGAAAATACAAATATCGAGATAAAATGATTCCGCCCCCTTTCCAGCGGTGCTCTTTCGCTCCTCCATAAAAGCCCAATTTCACGTGCAAATCAGTAAAGTGTATTGTACAATGTAACGTGACTTTTGCAAAATGGGATGTGCTTGATTTATTAAAGTGTTTAAGATTTATTAATGTTTTTAAAAGCGCCAAAGAGAACTTGCGCCGTTCCTCAGGAGGCTTTCTGTGCATGCGCTCAGAGACGGAACACAGACATGTAAAGTCAACTTTTAGTGCCTAATCACTGATCTGTCTAAATACGGATAGAAGTCTGTCTAATAATCAGATAGAACGGTTCTTTTTTGTACATTTGATTCATAATTTCTGATAGCTGCTATCTGAAAACTTTAGACTTGCATTAAAAAACTCTTAAAGCACAGTTGGTTTCATTTCTATCTTTTTTATTCTATTGTATTTGTCCTTTTTTTTTATTACTGACAGTTTAATCTTCAATAATTGTTTGTTTTTTACTATTATTAGTTACCCTAGTATTCTGCTGTGGTATTGAGACTTGTGTAATGGTCCCTAAAATGTAGATGTCATAGAATATATATTTGATATATCACTTTAAATAATCTTTAATTTATCCTTAAACAAATCACTCATATAAAGTTTTGGTCATATGGCCCACTCAAAATCAGGTTAAATAATCGTGATTATGATTTTTGGCATAATCAAGCAGCCCTAGTATAAAGCGCTACTGAAACACACGTGACTTGACGACAGAAATTAAGCTAGTTCTCGATAACGGATCAGCAGATTGTTGAAGTTCCCTGACAATCCTGCATGTTAGTTGGAGCCTTACTGGATTACACACCTGTAGATATTAAAGGGACAGTTCAGCCAGAAATGAAAGCTTGCTGTTAATTCACTCATCCTCAAGCCATCCAAGATGCAGGCGACTGTTTTTCTTCAGTAGAACTGTAAAGAAGATGTTTAGCTGAAACTGTGCTCCTTGGTGATTCATAAAATGCAAGTCAATGGCACTTTGAGAGTCAAAACAGGCATTTATAGGCAACTCAAAATGAATAACCGTGGCTCTTGATAATATATTGAAATCCTATGAAACAAAACTAAAGTAACAGTTCCTAATGGCCTATGTAAAAAGGTGAGATGATTAAGATTAGTTTATTCACTTAATATGCTTTAGAAGTATTTTTTAACACTTTCATAATATAATTGCATACACATGATGTCACTGCACGACTACAATTATCTTTTTTTTTTTTAAGTTATATTTATGGGCTTTTTTCTGCCTTTAATGGACAGGACAGTAGAGAGCAGACAGGAAAATACTGGGCAGAGACGGGAACCAAACTGGGGTCACTGGGAGCACAGATGCACTGTATATCGGCGCATTAACCACGAGGCTATCGGCGCCGACGTGACTAAGGTTATTTGAACCATTTCATTGAATTAAGCTGTCTGATAGAACTAGTGTTGTGTACCGAACTCGGTACTTTTAAGGGCACCAACCGAATTGAGTCGGTACTACCGAGTACCGATTCACGTGAAATCAATCGGTGCCAAATTTCGGTACCTGAGAACGCATCTGGGCGCATAAGCTACAGAGAAAGAGAGACCCTGTGACGTGAGGTCACCCCTGCAACTCGTTCAAACAACACACAGGGCAAGCCGAAATGTTCGGACAATAAATCAAAAGTAGCCACTGCCACTTAATTCGAATCGCGATATGAACTAGTGTCTGTGAATATTAAAATGCAAAAATATGGTTTAAATATGAATCCTGCATGTTCTGCTTGCCTCTGTATGTATGTATGGCGGAAACGCGGTTTTGTTTACTATGCAAATACTGAAGCACGCGTGACGCTCGCTGTGATTTCCGGCCTCTGCGTCTCACTATATGACGGCATGAACAAACACTTAATCTCCAGAGCTGCTGTGAGAGTCACTTCATGAGAATTTCACCGTTTCATTTGAGAAAACTAGCTTCATCATACTGTATACACACAGAAACTTCATGGCAACCTGTCAAAATAACAGTACGGTTTAACATGTAACAGAAATATATTACTCTTGTATTACTTTTGAACAGTATCATGTACATCTTTAAATATTCCATTGTCTATCAAATTTAAAGAAAACAATTAAATTATAAAAATAATATTCACACAATTTTTCTTCCATGTATTAATGTCAACAGTAAACCTCAGTTTGTTTGCCAAAAAATAAAAGGGTTTAATTTTCATTTGATTTAAAATAAATGTTTAATGCCTTCACTTGATTTCAGAAAAATTAAAACAAGAATTTCTGAAAGAAAAAAAAAAAGTTTGTAGGGCCCTTTTGTTCAAAATGTTGAAATTGAGACTTTTGGATTTTTTTCACGGAAATAAATGTTTTTGTAATTACACAGAGTAAAGTACCGAAATTCAGGTACCGATACCGGTACCGGTTCAAATGTTAACGGTACCCAACCCTAGATAGAACCTGTGTGAAAAAAGAACTGTATTTCCCCGTCTGCCTGAGGCTACAGACCGATCGTTTCGCTTCATAAGACCCTTAATATACCATCAGGAGTCATGATATATTGATTGTGCTGCCTGATGTGCTTTTTTAATTCTCAAAATCAGGCAGCCACTGCATTTTTAATGAATCACCAAGGAGCACAGTTTCAGCTAAAAACTTCTTTACGGTTCTACTGAACAAAAACAGTCGCCTGCATCTTGGATGGGGTTGCAAAGGGGCGGAAACTTTCCAGTATATTTCCGGAAACTTTCCATGGGAACTTCGTCTGGGGAATTTTGGAAATATTCCAAGTTTGAAATTTACCAGGAATTTATGGGAATTTTGGGGAATTTATAGGAATTCACTGAAACTTTGGGGAAATTTATAAAACTATCATATGCAAACATAAATATAAACATTTTGTTTGATCATAGGCTCATATGCATGCAAACTAATACAAATTTTAAAAATGACATTTTTGGATTTTGGGGGGAAATCGGTGATGCTTTTTTAGGATTTATTGATGAATGAAAACTTGTGAACAGTGTTTATTCAAAATAGAAATCTTTTCTAACAATATAAGTCTTTACTATTACTTTATTAATTTAACACATCCTTGTTGAATAAAAGTATTAATTCATTTCAAAAAAAGAGAAAAGATACTGACCTCAAACTTTTGAATGGTAGTGTATTGTTAAAAAAGTATTTCTATTTTAAATAAACGCTGTTCTTTTTTTAACTCTTTATTCATTAAAGAATCCTGAAAAAAAAGAATCGCAGGTAATAAAAAAAAAAAATTAAACGGCACAACTGTTTCCAAAACTGACTATAAATCAGCATATTAGAATGATTTCTGAAGAATCACGTGACACTGAAGACTGGAGTAATGATGTTCAAAATTCAGCTTTGCATCACAGAAAAACATTATATTTTAAAGTGTATAAAAACCCGAAAACCATTATTTTAAATAGTAATACCAGTAATACTGCGCAATATTACCGTTTTGTTCTGTATTTTTGATCAAATAAATGAAGGCTTGATGAGCAAAAGATATGCAATGTTTAAAACATTAAAATAGTAATGTTTCCAAACTTTTGACCAGTACTGTACTCCTGTATGATAACAGAAAGCTGGCTAGCAGAAAGAGCATCACAGCTTGAGCTAGTTTATACCTCATAAACTGTCAATGAAATCGTCATTTTTAGACTTCTGTTTTATTATTATCTCATATAAATGTTTGTTCCAGTCTATGGTTTGTTCAGTCAGTGTATTTGTTTTTACAATGGTATAGCCTAATTTAGTTGCACAGTATGTTACACAGCACAAGGAAGTTTTAAACGATTTTTTGTAATATTCATGTAATTTACATGAACACTTACCAAGATGGACATTTTGATATTGTGTGTGCAGGATTTAAGAAATGATCTGTGCATGTTATGTAGGAACGCACAGTGCATGTAGGGGGTGTGGCCTCACTAGCCCTAGGGGTAGACATTAAACTCAAATTGCATTAAATCATGTTGTTTTAACCTAATATATATATACAACTTAATGCGGCAAGATTTTTTTCTCAACTACATTTAAGTCCCCAGTTGCTGCAATTTTGCAAATGTCCAGTTTATTCCCATTAATTCCCGTTAATTCCCATGGAAAGTTTCCAGTCTGGAAAATTCCCGTAATTTTGCAACCTTAATCTTAGATGGCCTGAGGATGAGAAAATTAACAGCAAATGTTCATTGTTGGCTGAACTATCCCTTTACATGACTGTATTAATTACAAGGCCCTGTCACCATTTGCGAATAAAGCAACGTTTCCATCCAACGAGTCAAACAGAACAAAATCGTCACTTCCTGATGAACTGGCACTAAATATCTCTAAGAAAACTAGGAGAAGCCACTGAATATAATAATTTTCATTTGTAATAAATGACTTGCGCTACAGAGCGAGCAGACGTAACACAATAAATGCGGTCATTGCTTTCAGAGCTGGATGCTGCTGTTTGGGAACGCAGTCATGTAAGACAGTAATTATACAGAAATACTTTGATGACAGACTTTCCTCAGGCATTTCAGAACGACCAAAACTTAGATGCTGTGAACGAGATCGGTCCGCTGCTAGTCAAGTTATCCCGTCTCATAGCGCAAAGTCACGTGACTTTTTCAATGCGCATGGTGGAATTTATTTGGTAAATGTGTTTCCATCGTAGTTTATGCACATTTTTTCTTATCGGATTAAAAGTTTATCCTACTCAGTTGTGCACATAAGTTTTTTATGTGCATTTTTAGAATTTATGCACATCTTGGCGTTTCCATCCAGCGTTTTTATGCGATAATCCAAAATGCGCATAAAAATAGGTGGATGGAAACATAGCTACTGGCGTCAGAGCCTGCTCCTGTTTCACACAGACCAACATCTTCCTCTGTGGAAGAAACTAAAGCAGTGAACACACCTCCAGGTCCAGCAGGCAGATGGATTCCGGCGCGTTGGTGTCCAGTTTGGAGGTCTCGAGTGTGAGGCGAGGGAAGAGCTGCTTCAGCCAATCCTGCAGACTCACGCTTTGACCCATGAGCGCCCACTGCAGACCGAGCCACGCTAGCTGCTGCAGATCACCCGCGTGCAGCAGCACCGCTCCTGTGACACACACACCCCGCATCAGCATCTACAGCAGACCCAACACACAGACACACGCGCACACACGCGCACACACACACACACACACACACACACACACACCAGAGAGTCTGACGCGCGCGCACACACACGCGCACACACACGCGCACACACACGCGCACACACAGAGACACACACACAGAGACACGCACACAGAGACAGGCACACAGGCACACACAGACACTGCATCAACATCTACTACAGACCCAGCACACACTCACTGGCGCTCCTGTCTGACACTCACCGCTGTCACACTTGGCCAGATCCACGGCTTTGGGCACATGTACGCTGAGGACGTGGATGTCATCGCTGCAGATGAAGGAGTTCTGCTCCTGCGTCTGTGCGCCGAACAGTTGGTCAAACAGACAGCCCGTGCCACTCCGGTTCCCGAAGGCCTCCACCACGTCCTTCAGCAGCTGCTCCACGTCCCGGCTCAGGTTCAGCAGCATGTGACCCGCCTGACTCTGACGATCACAGGCCAGCAGCTCCAGAGGCTCATGGGACACCTGCTCGCTCTTGAAGCTCCTGGCTTTGGGTCTCGGAGCCTGCGAGAGAAGCAGATGAGATGCTGTAAGGTGGAGGATCACACATCACGAGCGCGTGAGGAAGAGGAAGCGGAGTACCTGATAGGATACGAGATAACAGAGAGCGGCCAGATCCAGCACAGCCCTCCACTGCTGCGCCCCTTCCTGTGCCCTCTTCAGCAGCAGCGTCCCAGAGTACAGGTACAGGTGCGCCCTCATCTCCGTGAACACCTCCGCCAGCTCGTCCGCCGTGTTTGTGGCTGTGTTCTTCAGAGCCTGCATCGCACAGTCAAAACTGCACCGCAACAAAGACAGCAACGACAACACTAACTGATTATTGATTGAAAACTGATTATTGCTGTGACCGATTCATAATAAAAGGGTCATGAACTGCCTTTGTTTTTTATTTTGTACTGTTCTCTGAGGTCCACTTATAATGTTATCAAGATTTTTACATCAAAAACAGCATCATTTAGAAGTAATAAGATATTTTCTTTGCTGTTGTTAACCCCCCTCATCAGAACGCTCTGTTTGAATAGCTGTGGAGGATTGTAGACCCATGATTGGCTAATAGTTGTGTGTGTTTGACAGCCTGCATCTTTCACAGATGGACGCTGATGTGATTTAGGTCAAAAGTGCATAAATAACTCCATCCACATCAAACGATCTGTTTACCAGACAAAGCAATAGTGATCACGTAATGAAAACAGGTACTCACACTTGTGTTGTGTCAGATCCAATATAGTCGCACAGCATCGTCTTTTAGCTTCAATCTTTCTGCATCGAATTGTGCCTTGTTTGTAAACGAATCGGCAGTAAAATGAAGAGAACAAAAAGGACCGAGTTCTTACTGACACGGTCTGGAACTTCATTAAAAATCAACTTCATTCACTCTAGGGCTGCAGCTATCGATTATTTTAGTAATCGAGTATTCTGCCGATTATTCCATCGATTAATTGCGTAATCGGATTAGTAAATTTTTTTTATTAAAGAGCAATACTAAATATACAAGAGATAATAAGATAGGTCTCTTAATATAAACAACTAATTTGTTTTCTTTTTAGAAAAATTAATTTTTTTTTACTGCTGAAATTGCATACAATAATAACCATTAAAAAAACTAAACCCATTTAATGCATTTAATTGCCAAATTACATTCAAAATACAAATAACGGAGTGCTGTAAAATCGGTGGGCGGGGCTAAACAGGTAGTGCTGTAGAATCTGTGGGCGGGGCTAAACAGGCAGTGCTGTAGAATCTGTGGGCGGGGCTAAACAGGTGGTGCTGTAGAATCTGTGGCGGTGGGCGGGGCTAAACAGTGATTGCTGCAGAATCGGTGGCGGTGGGCGGGGCTAAACAGGGAGTGCTGTAGAATCGGTGGGCGGGGCTAAACAGGCAGTGCTGTAGAATCGGTGGCGGTGGGCGGGGCTAAACCGGTAGTGCTGTAGAAGCAGTGGGCGGGGCTAAACATGGAGTGCTGTAGAATCAGTGGCGGTGGGCGGGGCTAAACCGGTAGTGCTGTAGAATCGGTGGGCAGGGCTAAACAAGGAGTGTTGTAGAATCGGTGGGCGGGGCTAAACAAGGAGTGCTGTAGAATCAGTGGGCGGGTCTAAACAGGCAGTGCAGTAGAATCGGTGGGCGGGGCTTAGCAGGCAGTGAGGTAGAAGCAGGTGTTGATCATCTGCGGAGGCAGTGCTTATCCACACTGTTACATGATCATAGAGTAAAACATTCCACAAGCTGTCGTTTTGGCAGACTGGCTTCAATATAAGCCGTTTTTAGACTAACGAGAAAGTTTTGAGTTCTGAAACTTACAAGATGTTTTATAGCACAATGACCTCTTATATGTCAAAAGATCAAGAGACATTTGGTTTCTCAGTTCATGACCCCTTTAATGTGTGTTCATATTCATATCAGTCTTTCAGTCAATGACTTCAGTCCTCCCGAACTACTTTAGCCGAAACACATTCAGTAGCTGAAGTTTCAGCGTGTGATTCATTTCCATGTAGAGTGACTGTAATTGTGGCGTGCTAATGGTCCGTGATGTGTGTGTGTGTTATGTGGCATACCTCCAGAGCGCAGCGGTGCTCTCCTCACAGCCCTTCAGCGCCAGCGTCAGTCTCACACGGCTGCAATGCGCCAGCAGCAGCTCTTTGTTAAACTTGCGTGACGCCTGTACGTTCGACGACACGCTCGGCTGGCAGAGGAACTCCTGAAATACAGCAGAGTGAAGCGCTACGGATTACGCAGTACAGGAACACAGATCAGAAGAGACTCAGATTATCAGGAACATTACTTCCCATGAGCCACTGAAACCTTTTATGATAAACAAGCATGGAAACATTCAGAACGCAAAACAACCTTCTCACTCCAAGAGCATTTACTGAAAAACAAGTCATGATGTCAGAAACCCAAAAAACAACGCTCAAATTTACATTACACGTGTCAAGGAAAGAGATTCAGTCCATTCATTCAGTGAGGAACTCTCAATGACGTTTGCTCTTGTATGTCAAGCAAACACATCTGAGCTCTTCCATATTTGATGAGCTCTACATGTGCATGTTGATCAACGTTTATATGTACATTTACATTTAGTCATTTAGCAGACGCTTTTATCCAAAGCGACTTACAAATGAGGAGAATGGAAGCAATCAAAATCAACAAAAGAGCAATGATATACAAGTGCTCAAGTCTCAGTTAGCTTAAAAGGTTAGTTCACCCAAAAATGAAAATTAGGCTGTGTTTTACTCACACCCGAGGCATCCTAGGTGTATATGACTTTCTTCTTTCAGACGAATCCAGTCGGAGTTTTATTAAAAATTGTCTTTGATCTTTCAAGCTCTATCATTGCAGTTGGCGGGTGTTGCAGTGCTTCAGTCCAAAAGAAGTTAAATAAAAAGCGCCCATCCATAAAAAAATTGTTTAACACGGCTCCTTTCAGACGAATCCAGACGGAGTTTTATTAAAAATTGTCTTTGATCTTTCAAGCTCTATCATTGCAGTTGGCGGGTGTTGCAGTGCTTCAGTCCAAAAGAAGTTAAATAAAAAGCGCCCATCCATAAAAAAATTGTTTAACACGGCTCCGGGGGGTGAACAAAGGCCTCCTGTAGCGAATCTATGTGTTTTTGTAAGAAAAATATTCATATTCAAAACGTAATAATCACTT